ATTGCACTTGCCAAATATACCAAATAATACAATAATAAGAATACATCATGTTTTTTTCTTATATTGTAAAAATAAACTAAGTACGGAGTATGTTTTGGTCACATAGACAACAAGCGTCTGTAATTCATTGTAAACAGAAACTTATTGTCTGTAAAACCTAAATACAAATTTACATCTGTCAAATATACCAAATAATGTTATCATAAAGAATGTTTCACAATTTTCTCTAGATTGTAAAAAAGAAAAAAATTATAATTACTACTATTTAGTTACATAAACACTAAATATCTATAATTCTTGATACACAGACATTTATTATTTGTGTAATTGAGATAAAAATTTCACCCTTCAAATCTACGATATAGAACTGTACCAAGAACATTTCTGAAAATTTTTTATGTTTAAAAAAAATGAAAATTTACAATCAATACAGTTTAGTCACACAGACACTAAAACTTTTTATTTTCTTGAACACAGACATTTACTATTTGTGTAATCTGAATCAAAATAGACATTTACTCTCTGTGAAAATATATTTCACAGACAACGAATGTCTGTAGCATCATTATTTATTCTCTTCCACAACTATTCAAAATTAGCGCAACCTTGTTCAATTTTTTTATTTAATAGATCCTCAAACACTTAAAAAACAAAAATCTTACAAAATAGCAAATATTCAATATCTATGCAACTTCATTGTAAAAATTCTATGAGATAGTTTCTCACAGACACCATATACCTGTGTGGTTCTTAAAATAATGAAATATCATTATTTCACAAAAATATTAAATCAGACTCCAAGAAGTCACAAATAAACATCTAAGACTAACAATAATCATAATAAGAAGTTTTTACACTGATTTGATTTGAACAAATCAAAAGATTGAGGTGTTGATGGTGACGGGGAAGGAGCAGACGACGACGGAGTTGATGCAGCACGACGATGGGTAAGGTGGTGGTGGCAACCACAGGGAAGAGACCGCCGGCGGAGGAGATGACGCAGCCCTAGGAAATCGATGCTTTTGGTCGAAAAAGAGACAGACGGTTGGCTTTAATTTGTTGAATCAAAGTAGATGAATTTTAATCATTAAGTACATTAAAAATGGAAAACATGTAAACATAATAAAACAAACTTTTAGAAATTTTGTATAGAGATATACGATTCAATTTTTATTTATACGACATTCAAGATTTGTGCAATTGATTTTAAAAAAAAATGAAAACCAAAAGAATTCTCTAAGAACTAAGGAGGGAGAAGTATCTTTTCAATTCTTTAGTTATATTACAATGGAGAAAAGTAATATCTCATGCATTGTACAAGTTAAAACTCATGCATTGTACAAGTTAAAAATGCTAGTAGACACATTCTTATAAATTAGTGGGTTGAAAGAATTGAGAAAAGAACAAATTTGTTGAAAAAGGCGAAGAAAACTCTGATTTTATAGGAAAGAGAAAAAAACTCGAGATAAATTAAAATTTAAAAATGATTTTTTAAAACTAATTGCTTAAAGGTAAAAGAGCAAAAATTTTATACTCTCTTTGCCTTAGTTTATTGGCCTTGTATGGCTTTTCACGTCAAACTGAACAAGTTTTAATAATTAATTAATAGGTCTAAAGTTCATCCAATTTGATCTTAAGAAAAATGAGAGTGGACGAAGATACTGGGACAGAGGTAGCATATTAATAAAAGTTTCTCTCATATATGGAAAATAAAAAAAGAGTACTCCATCCGTCCAAAAACTTTCTTCCTCAGAGCATTATTCCAACTTCAGGGGAATTTATATTTATTTGTGTTTTTTCATGGCCTATATGATAAAATAAAATATTTTGTTACTTTTTTGATGTAAGAATGTATGCGGGGAGAAGGAAAGGGGGGTTAGGGTTTCACAAGCCGCCGGAAGGAGGGGAGGGAGAGACGGAGAGAGAGAGAGAGATGGAGAAAACGAGAGAAGAAGAGAGGGGAAATCGGGAGTCGTGGGTGGGGAAGGATAAGGTTCTGGTGCAAACAAGGGGCGAAGGTAGAACTTCAGATTTCTGGGTGGTGGATCTGAGAGATAACAAAGTTATGAAGCTTGGGGGGCGCGTCGGGCTTCTTTGGGATCACAATATACCACACGGATTGATTGCCGTGGATTCAGTGATTTACGCCATCGGGAGGTATAAACCAGATTCTATTTGCTGCCCGAAGGAGGAGGAGGGGGGAATATATCACCACGATCATACCGGCACATCTTTCCTGGATTTGGCAGACCCCAGTGGTAGGTGGAAGGGAATAGGTGGGATGCTTATTAGCAATAGGCCGTTTCCGTGTTGTGCTTCCCTTAGCGACAAGATATTCGTTTTTGGTGCCAAAGCTTCAAAAGCCCATTTGAATTTGGGCGAGTTCTATGACAAGAAGAAGAATTGCTGGGAAGCAATACCATCACCACCGCTCATCCGTCGTGACGCATTTCGGCATTGCCGTCCGGTTATTTGCGACCCCGAGCACAATCGGATACTTGTCCATTTCAGTTATATCAGTTCCCTCTATGCATACTATCCCGAAGACGGCCATCGATGGGTTTGCCTAAATGATCACATGCCGCCGTGGGACGGAGAACCTGCACCCTACCTCCTTGACAATGTTCTCTACCTTATTTCCTACAAAGACAATTGCATCACTGCCTTTGATATCTGCACCAAGGAGCACCTCGAGGTTTCTTGGTCCTCTTGCTCCCCATTCGGCCCTCACGAACTTGCCCAATTAACTTCCCCATGCATGATTTATTTGGATGATAACATCATGTGCGTCTATCCATATGCGCCGTCGTCCTTTGAATACTACAGGTTCCAAGTTTGCCGGGTCTCTAACCAACAACAGGGAGTGCTCATAACTCCCCTCTCTACCCACCTCTTCCCATTTCAAGGCCCCCGGACACCCATTAATACGGTCGCCCTCTAGGCCAGGTTAGTTTCCACCCGTTTGTTTCATTTCTATATCCTTAATTTTCATTTTTTTTCCCCCTTTTCTTTTGCATTGCTGCTCACATAATAAGTTTCTGCCTACCGGTATACTATATATTTAGTATATATATGCTGCTCTTTTATGCCCTCTTGGATTCCATCTTCTTTGCATGAAGGAGCCTTGTGTAGCTCAAATCATATCAAATTCAGGAAACAACCAAAATTAAGTTGTATGAGACTAGCTCCCACAGTGCATTGAGAAGCTCAATGAGCATGTCAGTTTCGAGTCTCCATGATCCGGTTCTGACCTCGACCTCTTGATTGTAGGAGAAGCTCGTGACTGTGCTCTGTTCTTTCTAATAACTCTATGCATCCTCATCCCTACCTTCTTTACGCTGTGCTTGGTTTTGGTGGTGAAAAAAAAAACAACTTTTTTTTTGAGAGAGCAAAATGTTTTCTTGGGGAAAATGGTTTTAAAAAAAACAAATCTCATAAAAAATCATCTTCCATTATTCATAATTGAAAATTGATATTTAAAAAGATGTTCTGAGACAACTTAAAAATATTATGGGGGAAGGGCGTGCGGTAGTGGTAGTAGGACGAGGGGGAGGGGGGGGGGGCGAGGGTTCAAGAGTGGGGGAGTGGTCGGGACCAGAAGGGGATGCACTACTAAATTTTGGTCTGGATGTATACAAAAAATATTTTTTAAAACTTTTTATGCATGTGTGCCCCAACAAGAATTAATGAGACCTCATCTAATTATAGGAGTGGCCGGGACGGAGGGTGGCAGGGTAGGAGCGGGGCAAGGGGGTAGCAGATCAGGGTGGACGGGGGTGGGAGTAAGGCGAGGGCGGTATAGGGTCAGGACATTTATTGGGGAAGAGGGGGTTGATGAAGGAAAAAAAAAGAAGAAAGAAGAAATTGATGGGAGAGAAAAAGAGTGGTGTGCAACGAAGAGAGAAGTAATCGAATTGGGGAAGAAGAAAGCGGGTGGGTGGGGAGAGAGGAAAGGAAGAACAAAAGAAAGTGGTGGGCAAATGAGTCTTTTTGGTATGATCTATTTGTCGAATGAGGAAGCGGGAAGAAACAAGTGGGATGAACCAAAAAGGAAAGTGAGAAGAAAGATATGGGATGGAGGAAGTTTTTATTTATGACGGTTTAATTATTTTGAATAAGTATTACTATATTGTGATTTTAGTTATTCCAATGTGATTTCATGATATGACTTAAATTAAATGAGTAAGTATGAAGACTTTTATTTAACATCCAATAACTCAATAAGTATCAATTTGCTCCTAGAATTAATTAATGACTAACATGGACCGGAATGAGAAGGTATTTTGTTTGAATAAACTTATTTTAAGCATACCACTATCTTAGCTTTGTTTTTCATTTGAAGCGGTGTATTTTTTTCTCTTGTATTCAAGTTTGGTCAAAGACGCGGTGCAAAAAAAAAAAGAAGAAGAATTCTCAGGGTCTCAAGAGAAGATAAAAGATAACTTGAATGAATTGTTAATAATGTATGCAAAGGGTGTTGTAGACAAATAGCATGTCGTGTATGGCTTAAAATTAACCCATAGTTGCATGCGTGTCTTCAATGCACTTGAAGACAAGCCATGCACTTTGGTTGCTAGTTGTGCTCCTTTTTGGTCCATGATGCGGTTTATATAGTGTAGGTCGCTTGTTGAGTATAGCTACCACCACTTCATATTTCATACGAGCAGATTCTTGTGCATATGATGCAGCAGAGTATTGCTGAATTTTCTCTTTACATTCCCACTGTTGAAGAGTTTAATCGGCATAATAATACTCCCTCCGTCCATAAAAGAACTTCCCACTTTCCTATTTGGGATGTCCACAAATAAACTTCCCATTTCCTTATTTGGCTAAAAAAATTCATTAGAAAGTCAATTTTACCCTCCTCTCTTTTTCTCTGTTGCGTCTTCCGCATCTTCCAAGACTAGCCAACTTCTTCGTTCCCTTTCTTTTTTTTCATTCTCACCATCTTCTCTGCCATATCTCCTTCCTCCACCATATATCTCTTTCCTCTAGTTTCTCTTTCATTTCCTTATTCCAATTAAATTTCTTCTTTCCTCCATCATTTTCGTTCTATTTTCCGCACCGCATATGATTTTCGATGTCATCCTACAGTACACAGATTGGGAGCTTTGGAGCAGCATCATCTTCACCGAATCTGAAAAAACTGCACCATCTTCGTCATATCGGAAGGATTCTACTTCGCTTCGTCGGATCTGAACAAATTCAACTTCCGATATGAGCTGAACAAAGTCAACTGTCCGATCGGAATTTTAGATATGAACAATGTCAAAATTGAAGATCCAAGATTTTCTCCCGGCCCATCTTCATCATAGACAGGAACAATTCCACCACCACCGCAACTATAGCCGATTGGGGTTATCGACAAGGTTTTAGATCTTCAATTTTAGATTTTTAATTTTGGGATCTTGAATTTTAGATTTTGAGATGTTTAATTTTAGATTTTGGATTTTGATAGCTTTTCTCTACCGTGAATGAATTTTGGATCTTGGGTTTTTTTCTTTGAGGATTTTTTAAATGGGTGTGAATATTGAGATTTGAGATCTTGGTGTTTGTTGAATGTTTGATTTGGAATTAATCTAGAAAAAAATGTCTTCTTGACGGAAGAAGATGGAAGAAGGAAACAAACTTTGGTTTTCTGGTAATTGTAAAAAGGTGAAAGGGGCAATTTAGTAAAGTCAATGTTATTTTCATCTCTCCTAAATATGCGTGCCCGGTCAAACCGGGAAGTTCTTTTATGGACGGAGGGAGTATATATTTTGTTCACCCTTATACTTTTGTGCATCGTGGTTCCTGCTTTATTGTTTCTAGTCTGGGAAATTTCAATTTCTGAGACCTTTTACATCTTGAATTTAGGAATGTGGAGATCAATATATGATGAAGGATCTGGAAATTGTGAAGTTCTTTTTGAGATTTGTTTCAATTCCTAATAAAACTGAAAAGTTAGAAACTCATTCCTCTAGTGGTATCGTTGCTTCGTAGTTGAGATATCAAAGTAGTATAGTATGCGGTCAATGGTGGTTTGTGAAGGAATTGAAACTTTTACCAAGTATTGAGGTAAAATGTCTTTGCCCTGCAGGTATAGTAGCTCGCTGTTGATGTCCGGAGTTCAAGAATATGATGTGGTGTACTCCCCTCCCCCGTTCCGTTTCCTGTTCAGGTGACATGGCCCCCACAATCTCTCCATTCCATTCTTAAAACATCAACGGGCGGAGGGAGAATTTAATTTGGTTTTAGTATTATATATGCAGAATAATGAGCGGGGAATATTTATTATAGACTTGTTGCTTGTAACAAAAAGCTTGTGGGATGTGTTACTTGATGATGATTACAGTAAATTATTTGTGTTTCTCTGTCTTTTATGCTAAACATTTTGAAGCTCAGGTGTCGTTTTCTTTTGCCAATATTTAAAATGACATGCCATATGCTGCTGCAATTTGTCAATGTTTGACAAGCTTGCTAAAAATTGAAAATGGTTTGGTTTGGTACTACTAATAACAAGCTTGATAAAATTTAGCATGCCAAAAAGAAGGAGTTAAATATTGATTTAGCTAGTTTTTTCTATGTGCCACCCCATATTTGTTCCCTCACTTACTTCCCTCATGTTCACTACCACAACACAAGAAAGAAAAAATTAATTTAAACATTATTTTATTTGTTAAAATATCATTTTTCTTTTTTACCAAAAAAAAAATTATTTTATTTTTACTTTTTAAAGCGCATTCTTGTAGAATATTACTTAATTTTTACAAATAAAATAATGAAATTTAATAATTATAATGAATAGTGTACTATGGTAGTGAAATCAATATGTTTTAGCTAAATTATAGCAAGCAAAAGTTGGAGATGACAATACAAAATAACTTGCTATACCACTATTCATATGCTAAAAAATAGCGTTAGGAAGTAATGCTTAACTAGTGTGATTGGTGATGCTTTTTCTTGAAATTGGAATGTACGAAGCACTTGAGTCAGATGATATTGATTTTCATTTGAATATATATTCCACTCATTCCATTGCATCCTATGTTGAAATTGAAATACTTAAAAATATTATACACTTAAAACATAACCTAATTATATTAACATATTCACAAATCAAAATCTTAAAAATCTGGCAAAGTAGAAATGGAATATGAAGATTTGTTCGAGAAATTGGGGGTGTCATCTTCCAAAAAATATTATATATACTCATTTCTTTGCATCCTATATTGAAATTTAAATAATTAAAAAACATTATAAACTTAAAATATAACCTAATTATATTAACATATTCACAAATCACAATCGTAAAAAAAATAAACGAATTCAATTCTCTTTTCTGCCATTCACAATAACAAAATTATTACAATAAATTAAGATTTTCACAATTTATAAATAAAAAAGAAATGTCCAATTTAGATAATTAGATTCAATAATGTAAGAAAAAAACTTGACAAAGTAGAAATGGAATATTTGAAGATTTCTTCTTGAAATTGGGGGTGACATCTTCCCAAAAATCATACATACTCATTTCCACAACTAGGTAGTGAAATCAATATGCTTTAGCTAAATTATAGCAAGTAAAAGTTGGAGATGACAATACAAAATAACTTGCTATACTACTATTCATATGCTAAAAAATAGCTTTAGGAAGCAATGCTTAACTAGTGTGATTAGAGATGCTTTTTCTTAAAATTGGAATGTACGAAGCACTTGAGTGAGATGATATTGATTTTCATTTGAATATATTACCACTCATTCCTATGCATCCTATGTTGAAATTTAAATACTTAAAAATATTATAAACTTAAAATATAACCTAATTATATTAACATATTTACAAATCAGAATCTTAAAAATCTGGCAAAGTAAAAATGGAATATGAAGATTTGTTCGAGAAATTGGGGGTGTCATCTTCCAAAAACTAATATATACTCATTTATTTGCATCCCATATTGAAATTTAAATAATTAAAAACATTATAAACTTAAAATATAACCTAATTATATTAACATATTCACAAATCACAATCGTAAAAAAATAAACGAATTCAATTCCATGTTCTGCCATTCACAATAACAAATTTATAACAATAAATTAAAATTTTCTCAATTTATAAATAAAAAAGAAATATCAAATTTAGATAATTAGATTCAATAGTGTAAGAAAAAAACTTGGCAAAGTAGAAATGGAATTTTTGAAGATTTTTTCTTGAAATTGGGGATGACATCTTCCAGAAAATAATATATACTTGTTCCTGCAACTAGTTTATGGAACACAATATGATATGAATCAAGAAGTTTATACACTCTCTTATGCAAGCTTCCAACTTTTTTTTGCTCGACACAAAAGTATCTCCAATTGAATAAATTTAGCATCTATTTGGTACACGGAATTGACATAATTAAAATGTAATTGAGAGTTGAAATTCTATAGAATTGATTTGGAAAGAATTGAATTGTCTAATTTCAATATAATTCATTTTTTGGCACTACCAATTCTAAATTCACATATTTTTTTGCTACCTAACACCAAAATTAAAATTGTTGTGTTCAATTCCAATTCTATAGATTGAATTTTGTGTAACAAATGTGAATTTTTAGAGACAAAAAGAGTACAAGAAATCATTATACTCCGTGTGTTATAATCATAGTTACAAGAAAGAATATTGTACATCCATGACAAGTTATTGACCAAATCATACAAAATCTCTATTTATACACACTCCGTAATTCATTTCAAGCTCTTGAGATTGTGTGATAAAATCACTATATTCTAGAATATAGAATGAGAGTAGTAGTACTACTTTTTATTGATAATTTATTTGGGAAACTCCGGAAGGTAAATTGAATAAAATTTACTCCGTATTTTTTTGTTGTTGAGAAATGCTCAATTAGTTCTTTAGATTGAGACAAAAATAGTAAGCAGGTAAAAAAAGACAAATAACTCCTGACATTTTCAAGGAATACATTTATTTTTGAAGGTGTAAATGTGCAATGTCAGGAAGCATATATCCTCGAAATGCATTAATGTTGTACTTTATTTTAAGGGTAAGACTAAATCCACTCCTAAATTGCAAAATCCACTCCCTTCATCCAAATTCGCTAAATACACTCCCTCTCTTATACATTTGACATCTTCCATAATGTAGAGTGGATTTAGCAGATTTGGGTAGAAAGAGTGGTCCTTGTGATTCAAGGGGTGGATTTAGTCGTACCCTTATTTGAAAGGCATTTATTAATGCATATAATCCTTGAAATGCATGTATTTTCAAGGAGTACACTTATTTTTCTTATAAATATCACACAGAGTATAAACATGCTTTAAACCGTGATGTTCTTCAGTAATGAAAATATTTTTACTCCAGTAATATTGCATCTGTCTTCAACAGTGAGATTGGGGAGGATGTGTATCAGAGTTTGGGTCTTCGTAGCTCTAACTTTGCAATGGTCCCTAAGTGGACTTCGTCTGGACCATCGGCTATCCTGAGCGTCCTTGCCGAGGCCCAGAGATGTGCCAGAACGGTGTCCCCTGACAACCCAGCAGCTCCGTGCACTTGAATCGCCATGTCAAGTACCTTCAGTGCCATTTCGGGAGCGGCTACCTGCACTCACCAACACACAATTACTGCACTGTACACAGCTCAGCAAAGTGTGTACCCCAGAAAAGGAGATGCAATTCAAATATCATTTCACCTTTGCCATTGCTATGGTGCCACGAGCCTCCTTGTTACCTAGCCTATCAAGCTGGTCAGCAGCTTCCAGAACTAACAATCTGGTTTTCTCCAGCTCTATTCGGCACTATACCCATCAAAAACAGGATTGTTCTTTAGTTAAATTTCTTGTAGATGGCTACTTAGCACAACCTATAACAACCATATTATCATTTTTTTAATAATTATAATAAAACAAACAAATAAATAACAGCAATAATAATGATAATTTCTATTACCACTACCAAAACACCAACTATAATATATGTGGAGTATATGACCACAGACTGTACTATTACTATAAAACAACAATAACCATTATAGTAATACTGATTTATTTTTAAAAAGTGACAAGGATTATTTACTATAAAGAATACTGAATTCAATTGAACTCGTAATGCATATTTTAAAATATAAAAACATAGCATGCGCGGCATATGGTATATTTGGATTATCCACAACTTTTTATCCACTTTGACTGAGAAAGTTTACAGTCAAAGTGACACATTCTCCATCTTAATGGTGGAAGGAACCTTATTCCACCCTTGGGAAGTTAAAAATATTTTTATTACCAAATTACCCTCTCAACTTAATAGCAACATTTATATCGAATGGGTACTTTACCGCATCAATTAAAGAATGTCTATCACATTATTACCATAGAATTTTAAATTCAAATTTCCCACAAAATCCTTGCAGGTGTATCCTTTCATTTTCTTCCCCTAGTCTTACCTTCTCTCCAGGGGAATTATATAGAGGTAAAGCACAAAAATCCCTTGATGTAATCTTCAGATGACGTAATGTGGGTCTGTTTTTTTATTATTATTATTAAATAAAAGCGGTTTGACATTTCCATTGAGCAATATGTATAACATACTCTAGCAACATCAGACCGGAATGAACCATGTTCCATGATAAATTTTCCAAAAGTTATTCTTTCAGTAGCCCTCTGAACCATCATTTGCATGCCACGTTCAGCTGCACCTATTAACCTCATGCAATGATGCAGTCTTCCCGGACCCAGCCTCCCCTGTTAGAAAATGGAAACAATACAGCATTCCATCATTCAAGAAATCTGGTATTGGCAATTATTTAAATTCTTTTCTATATGTATCAACACAGAATTGAAAAAAAATCAGATATAGGTGTAGCTAGTGAGCTCAAATATTCTATCTCACTTTCTTCTATCCCATTTGTGTATAGGTGGATGGTTATTATTAAATAATTGCTAACACACAAATGGGTTATGAAAGTGGATAGAACTCAAAGAAGATTTCAATTTGTAGCAAGTAGGATAGAACATGGCTCTCATGTTTACCATCATGTCCCGTATTGATGATCCGTTCAAAACCATACCAAGAACAAAGGAGCAACCCCAATCATTTCATTTATTTTGAAATTATGGTACGATAGAGAAGTTTGGAGACTGAGTATTTAAGTTGCTGGCTAGTTAGAACACTAGTGATTCAAGGTGCGAGTAAGATATACTAACGCCCATGACCCATCCCACCCCCAAATCCCATTCGTGAAATTTTCTGAGTTTGTTGTTGTAGTAGTTGTAAGAATCTTCGCATATTGCTTCTAATCAATGGCGAACCTACTCAGTGTCAAGTGAAGTCAATTGACTCCACTAAACTGAGTATAAATAGAGCAGTAGTTACAGTTTTACAACTATAGGAAATGGTAGCACAGATGGTTGGGAGCTTCGTTTCTGTTTAGGCAACCTGAGTTCGAAACTCAGTGCTGGATTAGGCATTACTTTCTGCTCCACCCTTTTGATATTTGAAGTCTTTTTCAAAGAATTTTTTTTCTTAAAGTAGCATGCATGTAAACTATTTTTATATTTGATTTTTTGCGATTTTCAATACAAACTTTAACCATTAATATTATAAAAATATAATATTTCAAAATTATATTTCTAAATAGGTCTATTAATACTAAGTTTATAAAAATTTAATTCTATTTTTATAATTAATGGTTAAAATTTAAAAACTTTGACTAAGAAAAGTCATAGCGGGAAGAAATTTTTTTGGGAAGGGAGTTTGTAATAGCGCGCAGTAGCTTCGGCTTAAGAGTTTGAATCATATTTTTAATTTTTTTTTTAAATATAAGAATATATTACTTTTAGTTTTAAAATTATAAATGAGTTAAAATTATTAAATTGAATTGTGACTCCACTCCTTGCAATTTTTGGGTCCGCCACTGCTTCTTATCCTTTTTCTCAATGCTAACCTAAGTGATTACATATTTTTTTCCTAAGAAGATCACCACCTCGTTTTAAACCTCTAAGATATTGCTTCAAATAGATTGAGTGAACTTTTGAACTCAAAGCTCTATTTGAGACTTAATTTTTAAAAATATCAAATATCATCAAAGAATTGTCTGGTATCATACTAAAAATTGGTACAAACTGGAAAGGTGTTATTCATGTTTGGGATTATTTGATTAATTAATCAGCCCTTTCATCCTAGATTCCTAGGTGTGGGTTTCTTGGGAAATTATACAACACATGAACAAATAAGGCAGAAAAGGATGAGTCATCCATTATGTGGTACAATATAACACTTTTAGAAGCTAAGGAAAGAGAAATTTTAGTAGAAAAGGATCTCTGAATTGCTAGAGTAAAGAGTGTCGTTGTCTTTACCTGTGCAATCTCAAACCCACGCCCCTCTCCAAGGAGAATGTTCTTGTCTGAGACACGTACATTCTCAAACAATATTTCTGCATGCCCATGTGGTGCATCATCAAAACCAAACACTGCCAGTGGCCGCTTTATTGTTATACCTGGGGTGTTAATATCTACTAAAATCATAGACTGCTGCTTATGCAATGGAGCAGTTGGATCAGTTTTCCCCTGCAAGCAAATCAAATCAGCAGCATCCTTAAAGTGCAATTATCAAAGGCTGGGCATTCATCATGTTAATCAATTAAAAGACAAGAACTAACCATAACAATGAGAAGTTTGCACCTTGGATCCATGGCCCCACTAGTCCACCACTTCTTTCCATTAATGATATATGAATCCCCAAACCTGCAAAGATCCACAAACCAAAGTTTATCAGTTTCCACATAAAGGAATCCATAGAAGTTTGTCTAGTTATGGATTTTGTAAGTCTTGAAGCATGCAAGGGCCACAGGTTTATAAAGCAATAAAGCTTTCTTTTGTCCAAGGCTCTATTAGAAGATGACATTGTCTTATGTGGGGATTAGGGAAATACAATACATAAAGCACTCTTACAAAATAAAAGAATGCATCAGTAAGGGAAGATTAAAGAGAAATGAAAAATAAAAGGCGCCCAAAACATTACATACAAATTATCTTGTCGTAGTCGTAGTACTTTTCTACAACTATATATCAACCTAGACGCAAAGAATAGAACTCTATGAATATTTAGAAGCAGCCAAAACTTTACCACCAAGTCCACCATCACAACTAATGAAAACATATGTTATTCATCATAAGTTATTCTTATCACAATAAAAAAATTAAGATTCCTATCCTCTGAAAGGTGGGAATTCTACACTTGTACATGTGATAAAATCCTTTCCACAATGAATCCAATCATTGTTATAGCAGCACATAATCACTTTTACCTTTTTATGGAGCATTGTATATTGGTTGCATCTGAAGAGGCAACTTGTGGTTCCGTCATTGCAAATCCAGATCGTATCTTTCCCTCAAGCAAAGGAACAAGCCAGTCCTTCATCTGTTCTGCATTGCCATAGCGAAGCAATACCTAAAAACAATCAACCAAGGATATATAGTGACTGCAAAGTAACATATAATGGTAAACAATACCATATGGACTGTAATAATGCAGGGCTATTTACATATCACATTAGCATGAAGAAACCAGCAGGTATTCATTAGCAAATAACTTCATGCGAAAACATGAAAAATATACCAAATGAAATGATCTGAATAATCTGCAATGAATATTTTCCTCAATGGCCAGTTTTTTCATAATGTCACTTATTGATCAGGAAATGAGTGTGGGGCAATAGGTCTGTCCTGACAACAGAAGTAGAATATATCATTTACCTCCATATTTCCAGTATCAGGTGCTCCACAGTTGAAAACCTGTGGTGCCCAAACCGAACGACCCATTAGTTCACAGAGGTACCCATATTCCAGATTGGATAGTCCTGCACCCAATAAGCAATCATATCCCTTCTCAGAAGGAGCATGATTTTTTTCTCCAAAAATAAGTTTTCTGGCACGAGCTGCACTGTCAAGCTGCCCAAGTTAATGGAGACAATCGTCAAAAAACTGAAAATTAGTTTATTCCTCACTGATGTTTTATCCCAGATTGATTCCAAACTTGTCACAAGTTCCATTATTTTAGATCTTTAGCTTAACCAACATGTGTTTTATTTCCTGGAAAGTATTGAAAAGATTACATACAGGTATAAACAAGTTCCAGAGGCCTTCCATTTTTGCCAGTTCTTTTAACTTCTCCTCGTCTGGGTGAACTGTCCAACACATGGTAGACTGAGCCAGTTTGTAGAATTCCTTTTCCCTTGGGTATATGTGATGTTCCATGAACTTGATCAATCTGTCTCTCAAATCTTGAACTTTTGTATTAGGCACAACTTTAGCTCTCATGAAGAACACATCATTTTGACTTCCATGGTTGCATTGTTGTGTTTGATTTAATCCAATTATACCTGAGTAGTTAGAATCATAATGGCATTTTACATAGTACACTAGAATAATAGTAGACACACAAATTGAGCAAATAAGCTTGAGCTCAGCTACCCAGCCTCCTCCATCTATCATCATGTTCTTCATAAAGTTATATAACACTAGGAATAAATATATTTCAGGGGCAGTGTTTAAAACTTGAACCGCCTGTCAACTTGGTCAGACAGTGGGCCAATGGTCAAACCAGTAGGTCACAATTGAACCATGCGATCCATTCTAATTTTAAAAAATCAAATCTCTATACCATGTCTGACACACACGAAGTATTATATTTATAAATATTTACTCATATATACATGATGAATATATCCACAAATACTGTATACTCTTTTCCATAATTAAGTTCTCACTTAAATCATATCCAAGCTGATCTGTATAAGGCTGAAGAGAGTGCTCCCTGAAGTGGTGAACTTAAATCAAGGGGCTTTTGTGCCTGGAAGACAGTTACTACATAATGTGTTAATGTGCCAGGAGCTAGCAAAACATTACAACAGAAAGGGAGTATCACCCAGATGCATGATTAAGCTTGACATCAAAAAAGCTTATGACTCCATTAGTTGGGATGCTATAAAACAGATTCTCATATATTTGAAATTCCCTGAAATGCTCACCAATTGGATTATGTTCTGTGTAACAACACCTTCATACACCATAAAAATTAATGGGGGACAGTATGGTTATTTCAAGGGTGGGAAAGGGCTGAGGCAAGGGGACCCCATCTCCCCCCTCGTTTTTGTTTTGATTATGGAATACTTGACCAGGCTTTTTAAGAAGGAAACGTAGAAGAAAGGGTTTCATTTTCATCCACTGTGTGCCCAAGAAAAAATCATTAACTTGGTATTTGCAGGTGATGTAATTGTGGTTAGCAGGGCTGACGTGGGTTCTATTCAATGCATCATGAAGACGTTGGAGATCTTTAGGGATACAACTGGACAGGAAATTAACAAGGACAAGTCCCAAATTGTATTTGGAGGGGTAAGCCATCAACAAGAAGAGACTTTGCTGAAAATGACCATGATGTGTAAGGGTAAATTACCTTTTACATATCCAGGTAGCCCGGTCACTGCTTCTAGGCTCAAAACTGCTGATTGTGACAGACTCATTGGAAAAATCACCAGTAAAATCACAGCTTGGAGCAGTAGGCACTTCTCATATAGTGCCAGAATTGGACTGGTTAATGCGGTCCTTCTTGGTGTGATTACATTTTGGACTAGAATTTTCATTCTGCCTAAGAAAGTAATAAAGACTATACAAAGCCTCTGCAGGAATTTTCTCTGGTCAGGTACCCATGAATATAGAAGAACTGCACTGGTCAGTTGGGATCAAGCATGTCAACCAAAGAAATATGGGGGCCTCGGTCTAAAAAATCTGGAGACTTGGAACAAGGCTGCCATTATGAGATTGAATTGGGACGTGGCGGATAAGGACATCATGTGGGTAAAATGGATTCATAGCCGATACATCAAGTCAGCCACCTTTTGGGATTATATCCCTAAGTTGGATACATGTCACTATTGGAAACAGATGATAAAGGTAAGGAGAATGTTTGATGGCATGACTTTACAGGGGGAATACGAGATAAAAAAAAGGATACCAGTGGCTTCAAGGGACTAAAATCAGCCCCCTTGGAAAGACTGGGTATGGAACACGCTTACCCCTCCTAAATTCCAGTTTATTTTCTGGTTAATTATGCAAGAGAAGCTACAGACCAGGGACAGGCTGAGTAAATTCATGCAAATTGACACAACTTGTGTTCTTTGTGGACTGGAATCTGAAAATATTAATCACTTGTTTTGGAACTGCACCTATGCAAAGGAAATCTATATTAACATCCTACCAAGGTTTGATGTGAGAATTGCTGCTAGGGTTTTTGGGGAGATTGGAGATATGACAATGAAAATTCAGAACAAAAGGAAGAGAAGTGTTTGCTGGGCAGTTTGGGCCGCATGTTGTTATGGCATTTGGAGAGCTAGAAATGGCAAGCTCCACCGCAAGGAGATCAAGGAGAAGGAAACCATAGAGTATATTGATTTTCATGTTAGAAGTTTCCTTATTTATAAAAAAGCTTTGATGTAAACATGAGTTGTAACAAATACTTGAGTATGGATTGAGAAGTAATAATAATGTACTTTCGGTTAAAAAAAAATAAGTTCTCACTTTACTCTTATGAAGGTCCCAAAATCAAGTTATCTTTCCTTTGATGGTATGAATTGTATGGTCCACATTAAGTCTCTCTCCCTTGCATAAATTTCAACCACAAAATTTCATCTTAAACTCCATGAAAAAGCAAGTGACAACTTAAATATGGGATGAAGAGAGTATATATCAAACTATAACTGTATGTTAATAATAGAATAAAATATTACTCTGTATTTTTCAATCAATATTTACTTTGATTGTAGACATAAGATACTTCATATATTTTTCATATGAACCACGCTTGTACAACAATGATGTTTAGCTTAGTTAGCAAGAGTGGTTGGATAAATGCATATTAGTTATTTGGTCATGAATTCTAAATTACCAAGTTAGTCAAAACATTGTTTCCTATGTCTGTATTGTTTCTTGGGTAGACAGGTTGCGACATCTCATGATGCTATAAGCAGGAGCATATTCACTAGGTTGGCAATAGGATTGGAAGCACCATAAGCAATCACATGTCTACATCCATATTTGTTGGACCTAAATAGGTGGGTAGTAACCCCACCTAATCATGTCTAGATATATCACGAACATTTTTCCCAATTGAGCAACCCCACCCAATCGTGAATTTTATTAAAGACCATCAATTTACATGATTTGACAATCTTTAATTACTTCCTCACAATGATCAACATATTGGACTCAATCAAGTTTGGGATAATGGAATTGTGTGGTTGATATTGAATTTGTTCGGTTTGAATTGATTTGAGACACATAAATAACACCAAATATGGTAGGGATAAACCTTTTTAAACCGGCCAAAATAGGAAAATGGGACAAACATTAAGGGAGTAGTATCTATGATTGATCTCCTTTATTGAGCGAGTAGAATCCCTCCTTAATCTCAATAACAAAGATAGTTTATGAGATTAATTAGAGATAGTGTCAATCAATCATAATATACAGCTTATTCAAAATCCTAAAACCATGCGAATTGAAGGTCTTCTTTCTCATTTGAATTAACAACTTTACCCTTCCTCTTTAAATTCAATATCTTATGTTTTCCTCTTTATAATAGGTGTGTATCAAAATGCAAAAAATGGTAACATCATGTGACATTTCGATAAGACACGGGCAACAGACACCGCAATTCATATTATACGGTCCCGAGGATTTCCGAGAACAGGCAAGGGATAAAAACTTCTCCACCTATACTAGACCATGAAAAGTGATAGGTTCCAGGCTGGTTGGTTAAGTCATATTATATTTAAGTAATTAGCACTATTAAACTATTTGTTGAGTCTTTATTTTTCATATTTATTATTTAATAACTATTTAATTCCACTTAGTGGGAAGTTAGGGGTCCATCATTCCCACTAAGTTAGTGGGAGGTTTAGGGCAAGTTATTCCCACTTTGTTAGTGGGTGGTTATTAGTAAGTTATTACTAGTAGAAGTTAGAGTCTCTTTGTACAAATAGACATCTAGTCATGTGCATTGATTATGAAAGATTACAAAGTGTTTTAACATTGGAGATTCTCCTACTTATATGAGTTTAAGATTCTTGCTCATATTTTGATAAAGATTTTCCTTCATCTTTATTATTTATGAAGTTAGATCCTGATTTCATAATTTGATAAAGATTATCCTTCAATTCTTTTCTCTGCCCTCTCTAATTCTATCAAAAAGTGTGCTTTTGAGAGTCATAAGTCTATAACTCTCATGCCTCAATGAGACCTGCCGTATCAAAACGAAAGATGTGATTTTACAACTCACAAGTTGTTGAAATTCTTACAAGTCTCACAACCCAAAGGGTTAAGAAAAACACTCCGTTTTCATTCCAAAACAATCTCCCTTTACAATGTAGGAAATGCATCTTATTTGTAGGAAATAATTAACACTAAACCTACAAATTAATTAAATAAAAACTACAAACATGGAATTAAATCCTAATAAACTATTAGTGATTGATTCTTCCAAGATATTGTCTCTCATCTTCCATGCCAAGCATAATGAGATTCGCCCATTTTATCAACTTTTGTCCTCTTAATTACCTTGTAATGACAATAGTAATTATCTTGCTAAAATCTCTCTAAACCAATCAATATAATCTTCTTTGGCTTCTTCCACATAATTTTGTGATCTGGTGGTATTAATTAAAATTTAGCTAATTAGGAAGAAATTTCCCATAACCACACAACCGCGCCACAGTTGACCGTGTCTCACAACGGTCAAGTGTTGGACCGTTTTAGTCCATGCAACGATGTAACCCTTCCCATGGGTCACACTGATGGTTGAATGTTGCCCATAAACGATCTAAAGTGGATGGTGAATTGGTCGAGTAGCTCCACATGCTCAGTCACCTCAGGATGGTTCATTGTTTCACCGTTTAATGTATTTGACTGTCTATGGCCCATTATGATTTGCCTCCCGAAAAACTTGTTGCAGTCGACCATGTGACCTAAACAGTCACACGACTTGACTGTGATTCGGTCAATTTGTTCACTATTTCCTGACATTCCTTTGGGTCAAGTGCTCTAGTTTTGGTGACTTGTTTTGCCTTTTTGCTATGTTCACCTCGGGATACCTATATATTATCATTTAAAAACAAATTAAGATTATCCTGAGTTTGTTTTGTCGTGTCTCATTTCTCATTTCTCATAGCAGGACTAAGTCCATATAAAAATATGGCCATTAATGAATCTGTGGACTCTGGTATGGCTATTCGAGTTGTTAAAGTCTCCATCTCTCGCCAGTAATCCTCCACGCTTTTCGACCCTTGCTTCAATTCCTCTAGAAACGGTTGGTAATACTCAGTACCGGAATCTTCTTGTTCATTTGTGAAACTAATTCGGTCATTAGATGCATGAATTTCTCATGTGACACGTAGTTCTGAAAAATGATGTTGTAAGCCTACAACATCCATATTATTAGGTGACACATAGCAGTGACATCAATTCATTACATGACAAATATGCTAATAATGATCTAACAACATAAAAATATCAAATCAAGATATTAGGTTAGCCACCAATCTAGCAGTCGACAATACCAATATATTACAAGACACAACATATTTCGTGGCTAAGTTACACAGAGACAGGGATGTATACTCATACGCGGAAGGGGAAAGCTTTTCAAAATTATACAAAAAATGTAGGCATCGTGACATCCCCACGAACCCAAACAAGGATGTTTTTGGGACGGGAATCGGCACTTGTTTGGTGCAACATAGTTTAGTGGTACTTGGTCATGCAAAACTTGTATTAAACTTTAGAACACACCACAATATAGAATTTATTGAGAAAATATAATGATAAAAAATCTTATTTACCAAGTGGGGGTTGTGGTGGTAGAACATCTTCTCTGCTAATATATGACCATGCAATTTTAATAAGAGAATTAGCCATCTCTCCGGCCAATTTGGCACGTTCACCTCCAGAAGCAATACCCTACAATTTATATTTCAAATATAGATTCTCGTCAACAAATATAGGGTCTGGGGAGAATGATTCTCATCATGTTTGTAAAACAAGATTCTTACATTACATCCAACATAATGAGATACTCGTGTTTTAGTTCAACATGTTAGATATAATCGGGTTTGTTCACATATAACCGAATGGGTAATGAGTCAATGTTCGGGTCAGTTAGTATAGAGTCAATTAGTGTGGTGTCGTTTAGTGTGTTTTACATAGTTAAGTAATTTAAATAAAAAAACAGCAGTTCCTAAAAAGGACAGTTATGGGTAGTTATTTCTGGAAGTTGTATTAGTTAGTAATAGATGTGTTGATTAGTGCCAATAGTTGTGTTGGTTGCTGTCTATAAATATTCCAGGAACATAGCATTCCTGTATGTAATTCACAATAAAAAATCAAGACTCTAAAGATGAAGAACAATGAGTCACTTGATGATTTTGTTGGTAAAATTAGTCAATTTGCAACACAAGCAAACAACCTTGGGTCTGCATTAGAAGATAAAAGATTGGTTCGAAAGCTTTTGGGTTCTGTACCTGAAAAGTTCATACAGATCGTTGCTGCAATTGAACAGTTTGCTGACATTAACACAATGCCGTTTCAAGAAGCAGTTGGAAGATTGAAAGCATTCGAGGAACGCATCAAAAAGCCAACTGAGGAAGGAGATACGCATGGTAAACTACTCTTCACTAAAGGTGATGGAAAAGAGAAGGTTCAGGAGCACAAATGTGAGCATTGTGGTTGCTGGAGCTTAAACCAAGAAGACTTTGGACGTGGCCGAGGTCAGGGGTCCGGGAAAAGTCAGGATGGTGGTTGGTTTAAGCGGGATAAGAGTCACGTTAGGTGCTTCAAGTGCAATGAGTTAGGGCATTTTTTGAACGAATGTCCAAAATGGGATCAAAAGGAACAGATTGCAAATTTGATTGAAGATGATGAACCAACGTTGCTGTGAAGATCAGTGTGAACAAACAACGATTAAGGGCGTGATTGTTAGATATAATCGGGTTTGTTCACATATAACCGAATGGGTAATGAGTCAATGTTCGGGTCAGTTAGTATATAGTCAATTAGTGTGGTGTCGTTTAGTGTGTTTTACATATTTAATTAATTTAAATAAAAAAACAGCAGTTTCTAAAAGGGACAATTATGGGTAGTTATGTCTGGAAGTTGTATTAGTTAGTAATAGATGTGTTGATTAGTGCCAATAGTTGTGTTGGTTGCTGTCTATAAATATTACAGGAACATAGCATTCCTGTATGTAATTCACAATAAAAAATCACAACTCTACACGGTTCAAATTACATTGGATTTCAATGTCTTTGAGGTCCTATGATGCTCCGTCGGACCCCAAAGTGGTTCCCCACCTATAAATCCCCCACCCAGCCCGCCAAATTCCTCCCCCCAAATTTGGTTGACATTCTAGTCAAAGAATTTTGACCAAAATGTCAAATAAATGAGGGGGTGCGATTAGGGGCGAAGAGGTGGGGGTTAGGGTTTATTGTGGTGTAGGGGGTAGGAACTGATTCAGAGTCGAATCAAAAAATACTATAGACCCCCAAATGGACGGATGTCATCCTATGACATTGGAGTCCAATGTCAGGTATTATTTTACTCAATTTATTTTCCATTTCTTTATTCCAACAACATTCCAGTTAGATCCCACAATAATTTTCATTTCTTCATTCTTAACATTAAAATGAATACGATTTTCAAGCCTTACTCAACTATAACACTTTGATAACCTCTGTATTTGATACTTCTCTACCATATTTATTTTCATTTTTAACGTTCATATTGTCAAACTTTAATCACTACCTATTTACTTTATCATTTGCTAAAATAACATAAACATGTCACCACTTGTTTTATAGAGATTTGAATGCAATTTTTAAATACATAAATTTTACACATTTACTTAAACAACAACAACAACCCAGTTGAATCTCACTACATTTACTTAAACAAATTGAATTGAAAATAACTTCGATCAAATATCATAAACTATAAAACAAAGATAAATGGGATGGATGGAGGGTTACTTTAGAGTTTCGCAATGCTACCTATTGTTACTATTATTATATCATTTTCAATCCTAGAAAATATTATAAACAGGCTTTGCTTGATGGATCATGTATTGTGCAAAAGTTTCAAACCCTATCCATGTCATTATTAATGATGTGCTTACCCATGGTTCTTACTTTCTATCATTTCAAAAAAAAACACCATCTTGCATAATCCCCATAAATACAAATTAAAACTATGTTTCCAAAATCTCTAGGCCAAAGAATAGGAAATATAATAAGACTTGAAAAATAATGTTACCATGAGCCATCTGTTATGAACACCCGCATATACTGATGCTCCACGAAATAAGGAAAATGCCATGTAGAATTTCCATTGTGCAACAGGCCACTGTTTTCTCTGATATAGATAACTTGTGCAAATGAAGCCATGTTAAAGTTAACTTGATAGAGGCCAATTAATCAACCAGCAATCCACATATACAATAGATCACATGGGTTGTTATTGAGCAATATTTATATCATATGCAAATCTGATTATATGCTAAAAGCACATTTGTTTCATGACCTCATGATCTGATAAAAACCTGGGTTCGACTCGATAATAAGATAACATCCTACCTAACCTCATTTTCTTACATGGAGGTAATGAACTAATAAAACATTACCAAGGTTATGAAATGACATGAACTAAACAAGGTTATATAATGCAACCCTACTCACATAACCAAAGTTATGGGCTATATCTAGACTATTTTGATAATCGATATGCTGTGATGTGTGATGTATCCACATGCCCTTCCTTTTATGATATTTCTTTCCAAAAACAGCATCCACAGAAGACATCAACATTTTAATATGGTTTTACTCTGTGTGATATATATTGAATTTGTATCAAGATTCAATATCTCTGTCACACCAGCTTAATTTTAAAAAATTCATGTGCTTCAAAAAGAACAAAAATGTTGGGTCCATACAGAAACAAAACAAGCAAATATAGAATAATGAGTATCAACAAAAAGTGAACATACAGCTGTTGAACAATAATCTGCCAGGTATTCGGCTAGAGAAGGAATCCCTTCTGGGAAACTTCCAAGTTCAAAACCATCATTCTCTTCCATAATCAACATTGAAGTATTGACAATATAGTTCTGACGAAGAAAAGAAATCCATAAAAAATTCAGTGGTCCATGATGAGAATTCATGATATTCCAATGAACTCAATCCTAGTTAGTACGATACTGATTAAAGAACTGTTAGATTCATAATAGGAATCACAGTCTTCAATTTAACAAAAATGAGGGAAACTAAATAATGTCCAATGAAAAAGTACCAAGCAGCTGTAAGCAACATCACACATCTGATTACCCAGTGTTGAAAGTTCCCAATCAAGAATCCCAATGACTTTGTCCTGATATTCAGAACATTAAATTGGTCCCATAGTGCAAGCAAGAGACGACTTACTACTACCATTTTATTGCTAGTTCATACTTCATATGAATCGTATCTCACTCAATTCCATGGTGCATCAGATACTTATGTGATCATAAAAATTAGTATTAGTGAAAATTCAGAGTGTGAAAGCTTTCAAGATTGCACCTCGATGGGATGGAACACAAGATTATCAATTCGAAAGTCTCCATGAACAAGACCTGCAGTTTCCCCAGAAGAATCTTCCAAAGGAATGTGTTCCCGCAACCAGTCAGCCAGTTCTAACATTTTTTGGTTTCTCTCAGACTTGCCCACACCCGTGGATAACAGATATTGTTTGGCCCATCTCTCCACCTAAAGTATGTTCAAAATTTAATAAGTGAATCTTGAGCACTCCGTCTGAAAATAATTTCACCCAGTATAAAGGCAATCACGAAATCCCAATCATTTGATAAATTGTTCCCAACAATAGGAGCCACTACTTTTAACCGCAGCCACATTTTTCACAAAGTTAAATTGACATATATATTTAAAACATAGTTGACTAGAATAGGCACACCTGTCTCTTACAGTAGCCATTCCGCTTTCCATAACTTGATATACTAATAGCATCAACATCAACTGAATGAATTGAGGCCAGAGCTTGGGTAGTTGCATGATATACCTTCTTCCTTAGTTTAGGTGTTAGGTCCTTATCAAATGATTAATATAACATCGATCAAACCCAACATTGTACATAACTAGCTAATAAAGGGTGTAGTGTTATACATGTGCCTCGTTTAAATTTAATAATAATTGAAAAAATAGAGTTTGACAGGGTATTTAGAGTTCATACAGGGAGCTTAGGGTCAATAAAGATACGCCCTTCCAAATACTCCATTATATAAAATGGTGTTCCAATCACACTTGAGTCTGTACACAAACAGAAGACTTTTGGAACTGGCACCTGTGTATGAGTGCCTAATGCATTTAGGACCTGCCATGTTAAATTATTGAGTCACAAATTATGCTCTACAAGACAAACAAATAACCATCTCCTGAAAAATGATTACAATAACATTCTTTACAATCATCCAGCACCTCATATTCTCTCTCGACTGCATGAGCAGATTGAAGCAGTTCACCAGGAGGTTTCTTTCTCAATACGTATTTCATCGCCTTAGCTCCTGAATGGGCCTCCATGAGAAATGTAGGGTTTGACTGACCATGTCCAAACTGAGTCACGAATGAATGCACTACGTTAGAGCCACTGATGTGGCTAAGGAGGCCAAAACAGGCCCCAGATCACCCAAGATCAATAAAAAAACTGCTTTCGTATTTTTTTATAATTTCTTATGAATGAATTACTTTTTAAACTCATATATAATTTAACTAATAATAAAATTATTATTATGATTATTTTTGGGGGGTCTCGCTACTCCAATATTTAAAGCGCAATGATTTTGCAGTTCAAAGTAGTATCCCTGCATCAACTAAGCTTTTTCCTGTGTATTAAGTTTCCAAACATGATCAAAAGTCAAACTTAATACGGCATATAAGCAGGAAAAACAATCAAAACAAAACAAAAACATACAAGGGTTGGATGTAGAATAATATCATAATCCAGAAACCTCCAAACGTATATGCTAAAGCCATTGTCTAGCGTAAATAACGTACCTGAGAAACGAAGAACTGAGTTGGAGAATGAGGGAAGCCAGTGACATGCTCAGATAAATAGTGGCGGAGGGCTTCTCTGTCAAATTGATGAACCGGATTGACTTGGCCTGCTAGATCGGATGTTCGATAAGCCATGGCTGGAATGAAATGCTGAATTCCAAGTACCTCTTCTTCGGGTAGGAGCGAAATTAAGGCGTGTCTAAGTAAACTGGAAGAATTTATGTAAAAGGGCAGAAAAAATATTGGAATTTATGGAGTTGGTATATGTACATATACCTAGAAATAGGTACATTTGGTAGTACTCATTCTCGTACAAATATAAACATTCATTTCGAAATACGTAGTATTCATTCTGACAAAGTTAGTACTCATTTTAAAATAAAGAAATACTCATTTTTAAACATTTGTCTAATATAATTATAATAAATAGCGTAGTGTTCATTTTTAAAAAAACAATACTCATTCTCAAATAAGGAAATGTTCATTCTGAAATAAAGTATTGTTCAATTTTTTCACAATTAAAAAGTTCAATACCATCATAAACTTTTTCCTCTATTCGATTCGTTCTACTCATTTATACTCTCTGAGCATGGAGAATTTAAAACCTATGTTTATTTATGTTTGTATTGAATAAGAATATCATATCACTGACCCAACTATCTATGTCTCCCAAATTTATTGTATGTGATTGTATACATTTTCGAAACTTCCTCATAAACTTGACACGCTTAGCAGAGCACCAAAAATAGGGTTGGTCTAACAACCATGTAGCACACACATAGCTCCTGTATAGTTTAACAATATATATATATATATAACACACAGGCGCGCGCATAGATAGATAGATACATACATACATGCATGCATGCATCCATGCATGTATAGAGATAACATAACAATAATAATTTATAAATGGAAACGTACAATTTCATTTTCTTTTTCTGTACAAAACTCAAGAAGTGTTTTAATTCAGGGGGAGATAGTCTTTCTTGGCCTGAAGTCCAAATCGTGGCTGATATATAACATTCTTCATGAACGCTATCAAATCAACTATGTCATCCTTGAAAGACTTGGTTTTATCCATACCACACAAGATTCGACCATGCATATCCTCGAATACATATATGTGGCTGCTTAAACCTCTGCATGGCAATCCCTCCGAGTAGATGTACAAGAGACCATTCACAACATCCTTGCTAAAAAGAAGGTTATTAGAAATCAATATTGTGTAATAATTTTGGTAATATTAAAAAAATTAATGAAAAGCAAAAGAAACAAACACATTATAAAAGCATACAAAGATATTCGTACCCAAAGATTATTTAAAAGCGTTCAACAATGTGATTCCACCAGCTTTTCATGAATTCGGTTTGTTCATTTGATGACCACGTTGATTGCATAAGTTCAATAGAGCACTTGCGGTTCTCTACGAACTTCTCGAACATATTGTTGAAGAACCAATCAATAGTTTCTACAGCTTCAACAATTAACATGACTAAAGAAGAGTCTCCAATTGCACTCTTAATAATGTCAAACAAGGTTAGCAAATTAGGATGCCGGAGACCACGATGTTCAATGTCATTATATTCTTAAAGCTCATGCAATTCAACGGGAATGAAGGACTTCTTGTTATTGTTTCCAAAAATCATCCGACCACCGGTGTAAAGAGTATCTTTTGGTCTATCATCAATCCAATACATAGAAGAAGAAACATTGATCTCCAAAGAGAGTTTATACAAGCCAAAATGAGATAAGAAATCTTTATATATAAAATTTGAGAGTTAGGCTTCCAGAATTACGACATTTGGCATGCTGATTAGACAATTTTTTAACACCTCATCATTCATGTCAGCAAGAGCATTGAGTGAAACTCTCATGTTTTAAGCCTTTATTATACATAATTACTTTATTATTTCAGAAATAAAACTACTTCCTTCGTCACTAAAAGATTACCACAGTTTGACTTTTTTGCTCAAATTGTGGCACCATTTGACCTCAATTTATGGAAAAAATATATTTAGTTATAATGTAAATTTAGTAAAATTGAGTTTACTTTAAAATATAATTTTAAAATATCAAAATTTTATACTCCCTCCGTCCCATTTTATAACGTCTGTTTTCCTTTTTCGTCCGTCCCAATTTATATTGCCTGTTTCCTATTATGGTAAGTTTTTAAAAATAGATTTCCTAAACTACCCCTGATATATCTAACTCCTACAACCCTTCACCCCTCATTTTCCACTCTCGCCCATCTCTATTCCTTCCCTTTCTACTTCTACTCTTATTTTTCGTCCACACATTTCTCTCTCTCACTTCATCTTCTGCAACTCCTTTTTCTCCTTGGGTTTCTTCCGTAGATTTCTTCTTCTTTGAAGCCAGGTGTGTTCTTTCAATTATTTCTCTTTATTCAAAATTTTCTCTCTTCTCCATCATTCTCTTTCTCCTTCTCTTTTGTAGATTTTTCTCTTTGAATCTATTCTTTCTTTTTAACTAATAACACTTTTTATAACAGATCTAGGGTTTTGTCTTTGATCGTTTTTTTAGCTTTTAAGATCTAGGGTTTTTGAACTTTTCAGATCTGTGTTTTTTGCTTTTCGGATCTACGATTTTCGCAGTAAGGTAAGTTTCTATGGTTTCCACTACAAATATTTTTCCTATTTTCATATGTTAATTTGTGGTTTCTATCAATCTTTCTTTTTCAGATCTTGAAGGGGTATATGATAAAATTTCAGATCTTGTGTTCATCTTATCTTGAAGAGCTCCATGATGAAATTTCGGATCTTCAATGTTGAACTGCTGTTGCCGAGGTTGTTACAGAAGCTACAGCCTTTCTCTTTTCCTTCCATGTTTTAATTTCAGTGTTGGGTGTTTTTTTTTATAGAATTGTTTGTGTAAGGAAGAGGAAATTTCTCTTAAAAAACATTGGTGTGATATAATTTGGACTGTTTGATGTTTGATTTCATTTCATCCATTCTTTATTGTTTGTGTGATTCATGTTTCTTGTGTGTATGGGATGGCCCGGATAGGGGTGAGGAGGTGCAGATTCACCCATTTCATTTTAATAGTGCAAGGGCATTCTTGGAAGGTCAATGCCATTTTTTCCATTCCTTAAATATACCCCAAAGTCAAAACGGGCGTTATAAATCGGGACGGAGGGAGTAATATTTAATTAATTTAAACTATATTTAATTTATGGTCAAAGGGTGCAATAGTTTGATTACTTTGATCCAAGAAATCAAATTGTGGCAATCTTGGATAGAGAGAGTATATATATTAAATTTTAAATAAGAGAGGAAAATTTTTGCGGAAATGAACATATTTGTATGATTTTTTGTAACTAATTAAATTTTTGGTACATATTTATTATATAATTTATAAAGTAATGGAAAATCTCATGTGTAGAATAAGATATAAGTTTAACAACTATCAAGATGTTATAGCCATTTGTAGAGGACTTGATTTTTTAGATTTCTTCATTACTATGATATGCAATCCCTTATGGACAAAGATTGTAAGATATATGACAATAAGAAAATGTGGAGTTGATCAAAGATAGACTTGATTTTGAATCTATAATCTTTAAAATGAAATTGGATCATTTGAAGAAGAATTAAAAAAAAGGACGTATATTTGGTAAAGTAATTGGAGGTAATGTTAAAATTTGCTATTTTATCCAAAGTTTCCAGAGAAAAATTGTAGGTGCTACCATCAATTCATCAGAATTGTGGTCCAATTGTAAAGTTTATACGATAACGAAGAGTATGAGATTGTATTCATCTATGTCCTCTTGCACAGCACACAAGCTTTTTTTATTAGATAATCAATCTTGGTGATGGAAAGCTTGGACAAGTGATTGATGGAACTAGCAAGTGACGCTGAAATTACGCTCGAATTCTTGATTATAGACACAAGTTATTTCTTCGAAAGTATAGTAGATTTCACTTATCGAACCTAATGGTGAATATGAAAAGTTATTTTTTATTTAAGGACATATCACTATTGGCACTCATGCTTGGGGTTGTAAAAGTGGTAATTGAATTTGTCCCAATGAAGAATATGAAAATTTATTTTTAGGGCTCCCAAACCATAAAATAGTTTTAAAAGGGGAGGGAGAGAGTGAGAGAACGTTATCGGTGCTATTGTGGTTTCGAGAAATCGAGTCGGAGAAAAAGTTTACATACCCCGATTGTAGTTGGTACCATCCAATCCAGTTATCCAGGACTACCTCTGAAATTTCAGAGAAGACAATTCCAAATGGTCTTATGTTTTGCAATTCCAAATATTGTTATTTGTTAGATTATTTTTAACCAAGTTGGTGTTCACTCATGGTCACCTTTATGTTGTTGTTTCATGAGTGAACACAAATACAAGATTAAAAATATTTGTTCTAGGTAGATGACAATGAAACCATACGAAAAATATTGTACATCGTGAGGTTTTTCAAAAAAAATTGGTATTAAAACAAATTATGTTAAGTACTTTGTCTTTTTTGTCTATATTATTAAAAATCTATGAGAAATATATTATCTTTATTTCAGGGAAAAAATTGTATTGAAAAACTTTCAGAATGGGAAAAAAGACCAAAGTAGAACTAAAATTTTGAAAATATACCAAAATAGGACTTCCATGTTTTTATTCAGGAAATGTGATCTATATTACAAATCATGGTCATATACGTTACCAAAAAAGCATAGTAATTTGCACATGTACACTTCCACATTACCACAATGCAAGGTCACATTACCACAGTGCAAAGTCCTATTCCGGGAAAAAAAACATGAAAGTCCTATTTTGGTACTTTTATCTATATTTTAGTCCTATTTGAGATGATTTCTATTTCAGAATCGACAAAAAATTCGTTCAACCCCGTGCATGGCAGGGTCAAAATACTAGTTCAAAATAATTCAAAGTTTTAAACTAGAACAAGTATAATCATTTACGAGAATAAGGATAAGGTACTGATTAATTAAGTCATGTATCAAATATTATGCGCTTACATCTGACTTGTTCTACATAGCAATAAGGTCATTAGCAAATACCTTAACACTCTCTTATGGCATTTCAATATCTACTAGTTTATCCTTAGGGTTTAGGGTTTTAGGGTTTAGGGTTTTAGGGTTTAGGGTTTATGGTTTTTTTTAAATAAATAAATTTTATTAGCAGAAATAAAGATAAGGGTGAAGGGAACAAGTCTCCAACTCACCCAAAAGTAATGGAAATAAAGGAAAAGGGTGGAGGGAACAAATCTCCACACCTAAAGTAATGTAAACTAAAAGGAAAAAGGCAAAAATGCTACCAAAAAAAAGTCCAAAAATGGATGAATGTTGGGGCTCAATGCTATGGCAAAGCACAAAGCCCTAATCACTGAGGTAGGGTGAACGGTTACGTTCCTCCAATTTCCACTTGTAGGCAGCCGCCCACCTTATGGCATGAAACAAGCGCGTGTGACGTGCATAGTGACTTGGCGTGAAATCTTCATCATCTTCATCATTGTTGAGGCAGTCCAAGGCTTTTGCTTTCATATCTTTCTACTGTAGATAATCAGGATCTCCTTTGACCGCGGGTATGATATTACCATCGAGAGGATAGTCTTCGGTCTCTAATGGCTCAGTATCATCTAAATCTTTAAGTGTGGCCTCCTCCACAAGTGCCTCGGGGGACAGAAGAAAGGGGGGTTTGGGATCGGGACTGGTGGGTTTGGGGCCCGGATTGATAACTTTGACAGGTGTACGCACCTCGAGCTGCTCCTAGTCCCCCGTAGTGGCAGGTCTAGAGCCCTTGTGAGTCTTCACCTGCCAGATCTCAATGGGCTCCGGGTTAATGGGTTTAGGTGCATGGTTAATGGGCTTAGAAGGGATGGGCTTAGGATCAGGATTTTTGGTTTTGGTTACTGGATTAATGGGCTTTGTAGGGATGGGCTGGTTAGGGTTTTGGGTTTTGGGTTGGGATTTCGGGTGGGTTTTGAGGGGACTCGGGTTTGGAACTTTGGGTTGGGAATTGGGTTTTGGGTTTTGGGCTTGAGGTTGGTTCGGGAGATTGGTTTTAGGAATTGGGTTAGATTGGGCCAGGTTGTTGGGATTAGGAGGGTTAGTGTTATGGGCTTTGGGTTGGTTCGGGTTAGTGTTATGGGCTGGATTCGGGTGTTGGGGTTTAGGTTAGGGTAAAAACTCCTTTAGCTTGCATCTTTCCAAAGAGTGGCCTTGCCTCCAGCAGTATTCACAATAATAAGGAACCTTTTCATATGCCACCGGCTGAACAAAGCCACAATCTTCATTCTCCACAACTTCCGAAGTACCCACAAAAATTTCTTTAAACAGAGGCTTAAGCAAATCAATCTCAACAAAAACCCGTGCCACATGTGGTTTCTCCTTGGCTAAAGTAACTCTATCCACCCCCATTAGCTTTCCAATGGGTTTACAAATCAAGGACAAAGCATGAAAATTAGACATATGGAGAGGGAGACCATAAAGTGAAATCCAAACCGGTGCAATCGAGGTCTCAACCTCAGGATCAAAATCCAATGTCCATCTAAATAACCTCATAGGATGTACTGCATTGAAAAGTATTGTGCCCTCAAGGAAAATATTTGTGCAATCATGGAGGTTGGAAAACATAAGAAACACATGCTTCGGATCACGCCAACCAACAGAAACAGTTCCATGAAAGAAAAAATGAGTAGAAAAATAGTTTTTGATTACCTCCAACTTAGGCTGCCCATGAGAGAACTTGCCAACCAAAATGTATTTATCGATAAGAGCTAGGAGGTTGACCTCAGACTCAGTGAATCTCACTGCGGGCATACCTTGATGAACAGTAACCTCCCGGAAACGCCTCCTTAACAAAATTAGGAACTGAAATGCACTTGGACGCCGAAACTAGGAAAAGCTTGGGATTGATTTTTATGGCATGGAAGGATGAATTGGATTTTTTTGGAAATTCGCCAGTGGTCAGCTCCGCCGTCGCCGGCGGAGCTCCGGCGGTCAACGTCGCCGGTAAATTGACCGGAGCAGAATCAGATGGGACTAACGCCAAACGAACCGTATTTGCATGAGGATCACGAATATCCATCCCTTGTTTCCCAATTTGGCCTTGAACTTCACAAATTGAGGATTTTAGGCTCGGAAAAACCCTAGGATCCGAAATTGGGGGTTTTATCAAATCGGCTTCAATTGCTGCAATTGATGGTTCCGCTGTGTTCGTATGGACCTTGGGGGGGTTACTGGTGGGGTTGTGCGACGCCATATGTGCCGGAGGTGGCCGGAATTGAAGAAAACCCGCCGGAAACCGCCGGCCTGGGTCGCGGCGGCGATCTGGCGATTTCGATAACCAAATTACTCCATGCAAATTCCTCTCACACCTTCAGTGATTTCTAGCTAACCGTTCGAGTACTCAGTGATACTCTCTACCAACAAGCATCAATCACCTACTAGATCTATAAAGGCTTGATTTCTTTTCCAAATCTTTTAATTTCTGCAAAATAGTGTTTGTTATGGCTTTGATTTTGAAATTAGATACAATTTCTGCAAAATTGGCTTATGATTGGCAGTTCATCAGTTTTTTAATTATCTAATCAGTAATTGGAAAATTTGCTATAACCTGCAAAATACATTAGGTTATGTTTTATGAGTGTGAATGAACAACTAATTTGGTCGTTGCATAGTGGAATGGATTACCTCAGGAAGTTGTTCATTCTTAAGAAGACCCTTCACCCGGTATATTTGGTTTTCTATGAAATAGCTATGTCTCCACAAATTGGCATCTCGTGTTAGGAAAGCTAGTTTCTCCTTAGATGCTTGTTTGATCAAATTCCCGGTTTTTTAGAACAATATACAACAATGGGTTAAAAACACTAGTGATCAACCTTCACATATGTTCGCCCAAGATAAAATCCAAAGATAGGTAATATGAGTTGAATTGGAAAATATACTGGGTATAGTTTTGGCATTGAAAATATACTAAGTTCATTATCTCCATTTTTAGGTATTGAATATATACTAAGTTCATAATCTCCATTTTCAGTCCTTAAAAAATGTCTCTAAAATGCCTAAAAAATTAGTTGAAGTATGAACTTAGTATGTTTTCTGGAAATTTAAGTACCCATTTTAGATACATGAATTTGCATGCGTAAAAATTTTGTATTTTTGTAGTTCCTCAAAAGTTTACTGGAAAATATATTGAGTTCATTGATTTGGGTAATTTACTACAAATATGAGATGAGTTTTATACCTATCCAACTCAAAATGTTATGTAGAATTTCCTCCGCGTAGGGGCATAAACAAAATAAATGTTCAATATCTTCAATACCTCTACCACACATGGAGCATGTAGTGTCATTATCTAGAAATTTAGCATGGTTTTGCTTAGTGAATAACCTACGAGTAAGCCTGCTCGAACCATCCAAGCAAGTATGTCTTCTCAAATCAATGAGTAAGTCTTCTCAAATCATTGAGTAAGTCTGCTTGAACCATCCAAGTAAGTCTGTTAATCGAGCATGTAGTGTCAATATCCAAGTAAGTCTGCTCGAACCATCCAAGTGAGTAAGGTTTTGCCAGTAAGTCTGCTCGAACTAGCCCTTACAAAAACCATCCAATTAAGTAACCTGCCCTTACTGCCTTTATAAGAGCCACTGAGCCAGTATACAAACCATCCATTTCAAACAAGTCTGGACAAATTCTGAGCAGGCATATCACCTAAAATGAAGTAGTAGCCTTTCTGGACAATGTACTCTTCATTATGGATTAACTCCTTAAACTCATTCCAAATGCTTAGAAGCTTTTTCCAATAGAAACAGGATTGGCTGCTGATTGGACAATCCCAATCTTGTCCATCAAGGTTTCACTCTATTCCCCAAGAACCAATTATACCTTGTTTAGTTTCATGATCTCCATTTTTGCCATGTCTCTAGAGGTATTAGTGTTCTTATTTAGTTTTTTCCAATAAAAGCAAATATCATGCCCCGGAACACAAATTCTTTTATAGATCAAAGTTTATTGTCTAATGTTTTTCTAGTTTTCTCATTTTCTAATTACAAAAATGAATTTTTATATCAATTTTTGATAATTGATTGGAATGATTAATGTGATTGTATTTTTATTAATTCTTGCAAATCAATTTCTTTTTAACACATAAGCATGATTTCTATTTTTAACTCATTTTGCTAAAGAGATAGGTTTGTGCTAAAAAAAGATGAACAAGTTTATTTTTAAATGTATCTTTTTTGCTACTATTCTTCACCATTTGTTTGGCAACACTATTATGAGAACTCCAGGGGATTGTTACTTTTATGACTATGGCATACAAGAGTTGAGCTTTGAAGATTTGCTATCATAAGGAAAGTTCTTGCCAGGTCTGTTGCCAGAATCTACGACCTGCTCCCAAGTATATGCACAGATGACACTTCAACTAGTTCCTTCGGTATAAAGCTTTGTTCTTGAATTCTTCATTTCTATAGTTTACCACAAATGGAATATGATTGCTATATTTCACATGCAAATTCACAAGGAAGCATTAGTGAGGTCAGATTTATCAATGAAAGCGAGCAAATCTCAAACATATTATTCTGTAAGACTTTGCCTGCTAGTGAAACAAGTACTCATGGAGGTTTCTCTGTACCTCGCCGTGCTGCAGAAAAGATTTTCCCTCCTCTGGTAAGACTGTACATCTATATCATAATACTCTGTAATAAAAAGTATCATTATTTTGAAGATGCGTCTAAGATTCACATGTCCAACATGATTACTCAATGCAACCGGCCACCTGCTCATGAACTGGGTGCTAAGGATTTGCATGATAATGTCTGGAGTTTTTGCCATATATATCATGGTGAGTTTGAGTTACCATTTATAGTAGACTTTCCCTCGGACTTGTGTTAATTTAGATAGCCTACATTGCAGCTTAAACTGCCATTATCACAGTTGTCAATGACCCGATCTCCTATCAGACAATGTACTTATATAATTAGATGAAAAAGAAACCTAAAGCCAATTAATCCATTCTTGTATCCCCTCAGCTTGTAAAGAAGAACTGAAGAAATCATATCTTCAACAGGAGAATCTTAACTATTGATTTATTTGTTTGATTTTTTACAGATCTGGTCCTTCGGCCGACCTCTTCAAGAGATCCTGGCATTGTTCCTTGCAATCTTAACCCCACCGGTCCAGAAAACTTTGAAGGGAATGCACAAGCCGGACCTAGACAGACCCCACACAAAGACGTTTGCCATGTGTGAAGGAAGTTGATGTCAATGGGATAACTATGAAAGTTAAATACTGCTACATCTGCATGCTTTATAGACCTCCACGCTGCTCACATTGTTCAGATTGCAATAATGGTGTGGATCAGTTTGATCATCATTGCCCTTGGGTTGGACAATGTATTGGATTGGTATGCATTATGAAAACCTTACCACTTCAATTTGAATTGGGTGTTTGAAAATAGTCATACTCTTTTTCTTCTCTTTCTCCAAAACACATGACCATTTTCTCTCATAGAAACACATCGTCCAGATCTTTTTATTCTAAATTTCTTTTCAATATCTTTTCTTTAAGACTTAAGGCTCCATTTAGAACCTAGAATATATTTTCTTTAAGACTTAAGGCTCCATTTTGAAGGAAGATTTATTTAGGGAAATTGAAGGACAGATTCAAACATAATGCTACCATTTATGCAACTGGTGGGGAGAGGCATAGCCGTGTCTCAGTTTGTTCTTTTTTGTAGTAGTATTTTCCTTGCAAGACTATGTTTTTGGCTTCAAGAATCAAGAATACATATATTCTTGACAATTTGTATTGTGGCAGGTAAATTTTTTAGCTTGGTGCCACAAGAATTTCTAGGGAGAGGGTTCCTTGAGAATGTTATGTTCGCTGCGAAAACCCAACCAAAGGAACGACTCGAGAAAGAGTTCGTAGACTGTTGGTTACTAAGTCCCAACATTACTTGTTTTAGTTTCTTAGGCAAAAAAATATGGCTTCAATTTTCAAAGCTATAAACGGGTATATGTGATTCAGATGCATTCTTGTTTTGTTTCGTTTTTTTTCGTTTTTTTACCTCAGCAAGTACTCATTTGATCATGTATTTGTCAATTTGTATGTATAGTTTTTGAACCTCACTTATAATGAGCAAGGAGCATGAGCCATGGGCCCATGTTTAAAAAAAAAATACTCTCCACCCTATCTCTTACATGGTATGATTTTTTGATACTAGTACTCTTAATACTACATTTGTTCTTGAGTTTTGATAAGAGCAAGCATTGAAGGCTACATTTCATCTCTCCTAGATCATCACTTTTGTCTTTTTTTGATGTTATCCTCAAAGTGGTGTTCTTTTTTGTTGTTTTGCACCTAATTACCATCCGAACTAACATAGAGACCGAGGAATAGCCATATCTATGTACACAAAAAATATGTTATAGTCGAGAGGACCGATAGAATTAGACCACATTATGTCGACTCAAAGTATTGAATAATTAAATGAATGAAGTAATTGTATTTCTCAAAGAATAAAGAATACAAGGGAGAGTATACATCGGAGGGAATACAATCCCTACTAGAACTAGGAAACATAAATAGAACCTGACTAAAATATTAAGTCTATAATAAATATTATTGACTATAACTAGTTGTCTAACATCTCCCTCAAGTTGAACGTCGTATCACGAACGGAAGCTTGGAAATAAGACATTGGTAGCACGGCTTGGGAAGAGGCTTGGTCAGCAAATAAGTAAGTTGCTCATCAGAGAAGACATGAGGCACACTCATAATACCAGCAATGACTTGTTCACGAGCAAAGTGACAATCTGTTCCCACATGCTTCATCCTTTTATGAAAAATTGGATTCTTCGTAAGACATATAGCAGACTAATTATCACAAAAGAGTTGTGGGGTTGAGACTGACACACGCAAGTCACCCAGAACATAGGTATTTTTGACAAGTAGTTTTGACATGAAACTTTTACAAAGGATTTTACATGCAAATAGAAACTTTTATGTCAAATTTCACAACTTTTTTGATGAATTTAAAATTTCGCCAAAAAATATGATGGTACCCCTAGAGCTCGAGGCCAAAACTAAAAAAAATTATAACTTAGACATTATTCACAAGTATTTTTGACATGAAACTTTTACAAAAGATTTTAAGTGCAAATAAAAACATCCATGTCAAATTTCGCAACTTTTTTGATGAATTTAAAATTTTGCCAAAAAATGTGATGGTACCCCTAGAGCTCGAGGCCAAAACTAAAAAAATATAATTTAGATATTGTTGACAAGTAGTTTTGACATGAAATTTTTACAAAGGATTTTACATGCAAATAGAAACATCTATGTCAAATTTCATAACTTTTTTGATTAATTTAAAATATGGCCAAAAAATGTGATGGTACCTTTAGTGCTACAGGCCAAAACTAAAAAAATTATAATTTAGATATTATAGACAAGTAGCTTTGACATGAAATTTTTACAAAGGAATTTACATGCAAATGGAAACATTTATGTCAAATTTCACAACTTTTTTGATGAATTTAAAATTTTGCCAAAAATGTGATGGTACCTCTAGAGCTTGAAGCCAAAACTAAAAAAATTATAATTTAGACTTTGTTGACAAGTAGTTTTGACATGAAACTTTTACAAAAGATTTTACATGCGAATAGAAACATCCATGTCAAATTTCGCAACTTTTTTGATGAATTTTAAAATTTGGCCAAAAAATAAGATCATACCCCTAGAGTTCGAGGCCAAAACTAAAAAAATTATAATTTTGACATTATTGATAAGTACTTTTGACATAAAACTTTTACAAAGGATTTTAGATGCAAATAGAAACAACCATGTAATACTCCACAACTTTTTTTGATGAATTTAAAATTTCGCCAAAAAATGTGATGGTACCACTAGAGCTCGAGGCCAAAACTAAAAAAAATTAAAACTTAGACATTGATGACAAGAATTTTTCACATGAAACTTTTACAAAAAATTTTACATGCAAATAGAAACATACATGAAAAATTTCGAAACTTTTTTGATGAATTTAAAATGTGATGGTACCACTAGAGCTCGAGGCCAAAACTAAAAAATTATAATTTAGATATTGTTGACAAGTAGTTTTGACATGAAACTTTTACAAAGGATTTTACATGAAATAGAAACATCTATGTCAAATATTATAACTTTTTTGATTAATTTAAAATTTGGCCAAAAAATGTGATGATCTCTCTAGAGCTCGAGGCCAAAACTAAAAAATTATAATTTAGATATTGTTGACAAGTAGTTTTGAAATGAAACTTTTACAAAGGATTTTACATGGAAATAGAAACATCTATGTCAAATTTCGCAACTTTTTTGATGAATTTAATATTTCGCCAAAAAATGTGATGGTATCCCTAGAGCTCGAGGCCAAAACTAAAAAAATTATAACTTAGACATTATTGACAAGTTTTTTTGACATGAAACTTTTACAAAAGATTTTACATGGAAATAGAAACATCCATGTCAAATTTCGCAACTTTTTTGATGAATTTAAAATTTCGCCAAAAAATGTGATGGTACCCCTAGAGCTCGAGACCAAAACTATAAAATTATAATTTAGATATTGTTGACAAGTAGTTTTGACATGAAACTTTTACAAAGGATTTACATGCAAATAGAAACATCTATGTCAAATTTCACAACTTTTTTGATGAATTTAAAATTTCGCCAAAAAATGTGATGTTACCCCGAGAGCTCGAGGCCAAAACTAAAAAAATTATAATTTAGATATTTTTGGCAAGTAGTTTTGAAATAAAACTTTTATAAAAGATTTTACATGCAAATAGAAACATCTATGTCGAATTTCGCAACTTTTTTGATGAATTTAAATTTTCGCCAAAAAATGTGAAGGTACCCCTAGAGCTCGAAGCCAAAACTAAGAAATTATAATTTAGATGTTGTTGACAAGTAGTTTTGATATGAAACTTTTAGAAAGGATTTTACATGTAAATAGAAACATCTATCTCAAATTTCATAACTTTTTTGATGAATTTAAAATCTGGCCAAAAAATGTGATGGTACCTCTAGAGCTCGAGGGCAAAACTAAAAAAAATAACTTAGACATTGTTGAAAAGTATTTTTGACATGAAAATTTTACAAAAGATTTAACATAAAAATAGAAACATCCATGTAAAATTTCGCAAGTTTTTTGATGAATTTAAAATTTCGCTAAAAATGTGATGTTACCCCTAGAGCTCGAGGCCAAAACTAAAAAATTATAATTTAGATATTTTTGGCAAGTAGTTTTGAAATGAAACTTTTACAAATGATTTTACATGCAAATAGAAAAATCTATATCGAATTTCATAACTTTTTTGATTAATTTAAAATTTGGCCAAAAAATGTGATGGTACCCCTAGAGCTCGAGGCCAAAACTAAAAAAATTAAAATTTAGAATATGTTGACAAGTAGTTTTGACATGAAACTTTTACAAAGAATTTTACATGCAAATAGAAACACCTATGTCAAATTTCACAATTTTTTTGATGAATTTAAAATTTCGCCAAAATATGACCTCTAGAGCTCGAAGCCAAAACTAAAAAACATATAACTTAGACATTGTTGACAAGTAGTTTTGACGTGAAACTTTTACAAAGGATTTTACATGTAAAAAGAAACATCCATGTCAAATTTTGCAATTTTTTGATGAATTTAAAATTTCACCGAAAAATATGATCATACCCCTAGAGTTCGAGGCCAAAACTAAGAAATTAAAATTAAGATATTGTTGACAAGTAGTTATGACATGAAACTTTTAGAAAGGATTTTACATGCAAATAGAAACATCTATGTAAAATTTAATAACTTTTTTGATGAATTTAAAATTTTGCCAAAAAATGTGATGGTACCCTTAGAGCTCGAGGCCAAAACTAAAAAAAATTAAAATTTAGATTATGTTGACAAGTAGTTTTGACATGAATCTTTTACAAAGGATTTTACATGCAAATAGAAACATCTATGTCAAATTTCACAACTTTTTTGATGAATTTAAAATTTTGCCAAAAAATGTGATGGTACCCCTAGAGCTCGAGACCAAAACTAAAAAAAATTATAACTTTGACATTATTGACAAGTAGTTTTGACATGAAACTTTTAAAAAGAATTTTACATGCAAATAGAAACATCTATGTCAAGTTTCACAACTTTTTTGATGATTTTAAAATTTCGCCAAAATATGTGATGGTACCATTAGAGCTCGAGGCCAATACTAAAAAAATTATAACTTTGACATTGTTGACAAGTAGTTTTGACATGAAACTTGTACAAAGAATTTTACATGTAAATAGAAACATCCATGTCAAATTTTGCAATTTTTTGATGAATTTAAAATTTCGCCGAAAAATATGATCATACCCCTAGAGTTAGAGGCCAAAACTAAGAAATTATAATTTAGATATTGTTGACAAGTAGTTTTGACATGAAACTTTTAGAAAGGATTTAACATGCAAATAGAAACATCTATGTAAAATTTCATATTGATTAATTTAAAATTTGGCCAAAAAATGTGATGTTACCCCTAGAGCTTGAGGCCAAAACTAAAAAATAATAATTTAGATATTTTTGACAAGTAGTTTTGAAATAAAACTTTTACAAAAGATTTTACAAGCAAATAGAAACATCTATGTCAAATTTCATAAGTTTTTTGATTAATTTAAAATTTGGCCAAAAAATGTGTTAGTACCCCTAGAGTTTGAGGCCAAAACTAAAAAAAATTATAACTTAGACATTATTGACAAGTATTTTTTACATGAAACTTTTACAAAAGATTTTACGTGCAAATAGAAACATTCATGTCAAATTTCGAAACTTTTCTGATGAATTTAAAATTTCGCTAAAGAATGTGATGTTACCCCTAAAGCTCGATGCCAAAACTAAAAAATTATAATATAGATATTGTTGACAAGTAGTTTTGAAATGAAACTTTTATAAAGGATTTTACATGCAAATAGAAACATCTATGTCGAATTTCATAACTCTTTTGATTAATTTAAAATTTGGCCAATAAATGTGATGGTACCCCTAGAGCTCGAGACCAAAACTAAAAAAAATTATAACTTAGACATTATTGACAAGTATTTTTGACATGAAACTTTTACAAAAGATTTTACGTACAAATAGAAACATCCATGTCAAATTTTGAAATTTGTTTG